GGAGTTTCGCTCTTGTTACCCAGGCTGGAGTGCAATGGCGCGATCTCGGCTCACCGCAACCTCTGCCTCCTGGGTTCAGGCAATTCTCCTGCCTCAGCCTCCTGAGTCGCTGGGATTACAGGCACGCACCACCATGCCCAGCTAATTTTTTGTATTTTTAATAGAGACGGGGTTTCACCATGTTGACCAGGATGGTCTCGATCTCTTGACCTCGTGATCCACCCGCCTCGGCCTCCCAAAGTGCTGGGATTACAGGCTTGAGCCACCGCGCCCGGCGAAAAAGTTATTTCTAAAGTGCTTAGAACAGAACCTGAAAAATAGTAAGTTTTCAAAAAGTGTTTGTTACTTAAAGATAAATTCCTGGCCTCCCTAGGCAAGCCACCCTCCTATTGTAAAATAAGGGTGGCTACTGACAGATCAGGAGGGTCTTTGGGTTTTGTGCCTGGGGTGGGATCACATGCTAAGTCGTGTCCCCAGATGCTACAGTGCAAGCAGAAGAGAAGCAACGGGGAGATTCGGACTGTCCTGCACAAACAGCCCCCACTTAGAGGGCGGGGTGAGAGGCAGACAGTGGGAGATAGTCCAGGAACCTGCAGGCACCTTTGGAGGGCATTCCAGAGTTGCTCAGAGCCGCACTCCAGAATCAGACAGAACCTGATTCAAACCCTGCCTCAATTGTTGAGCCAATCTCTGTGGCCTGAGGAAATTATTTTATCTCTGAGCTTCAGCTTTGTCATCTGTGAAAAATAGATCTTTAGAGTCCCCATAAAGGGTTAGGAGGATTGAATGAAATAATACCTGTCAGAAGCTGAGGACTGTTGCCAGCTCATTGTAAGTACCCAACACATGCTACACTTTCTTGGTATCGTTTGTAGTAGAGACTGGCAGGGTGCACCCTCAGTGTGAACAGTGAGTTATCTTTTGTTGTGGGACTTCAGGTCCCAACACTGTATTCCAAAAATGTTCAAAGTTATAGCAAATTGAAAAAGGCTGTTCAGTAAGCGGTACAATGAGAATTAGGATGCTTTTCCTTTCTTTTGGCTTACTTATCATTTATATTTTTCTACAGTAGACATATGTTACTTTGATAATTAGAAATAAATATGGAGGAGAGGAAAAGGAAAAAAAGTTCAACAGAGTAGGACCAGGGACAGAGCCCTGTGGTGCAAAGCCACCACTTCCCAGTTTCAGCTATGAGTTGCCTTTCGAAACAGCCTCTCATCTAACTAAATTCTTGGCCAGTGCAGTGGCTCATGCGGGTAATCCCAGCACTTTTGTAGGCCAAGGTGGGCATCACTTGAGATCAGAAGTTCAAGACCAGCCTGGCCAGCATGGTGAAACCCCATCTCTACTACTAAAAATACAAAAGTTAGTCAGGTGTGGTGGTGTGCGCCTGTAATGCCAGCTACTCAGGAGGCAGAGGCAGGAGAATCACTTGAACCCGGGAGGCTGAGGTTTCAGTGAGCCGATATCAGGTTGCTGCACTCCAGCCTGGGTGACAGAGCAAGACTCTGTCAAAAAAAAAAAAAAATTATTCCAGCTGTTGAGTCATTTCACCCACACATTACCCGGTGTCCACAGGATGTCAGATTTTGCTGTGTGCCTTGCTGAAGTCCAGACATGAGAAGCTTGCAGCAGCCCCATTCCTGACCAAATAATTCCATCAATGGGGAAAATCAGATCAACCCAGACAGATCTGTTCTTAGTAGTATATCATGTCTTTACACATACTTACAAACCTAGGGGTGGTGGAAAGGGTATGGATTCTGGAGTCAGAGGTTCTGGGTTTGAATCCCACTCACATTTTTCAGCTGTGTGACTTTGGGAGAGTTGCCTGGCCTCTCTGAGCCTCACTGTAAAAAGAGAACAGTAAAGCTGTTGTCACAGGCTTCTTTTGACAACTTAAAGAGTGGGTAGGCTGGACGCCATGGCTCATACCTGTAATCCTAACACTTTGGGAAGCCAAGGTGGGTGGATTGCTTGAGCCCAGGAGTTTGAGACCAGCCTGGGCAACATAGTGAAACCTCATCTCTACTAAAAATAAAAAAAAAAAAAAAAAAAAAAAAAAAAAAAAGCCGGGTGTGGTGGCATGTGCCTGTAGTACCAGCTACTCGGGAGGCTGAAGTGGGAGGATCACTTGAGCCCAGAA